GTTCCGTCATTTGATGAAGCAATAGCACTACAACAGGATTTCAAATTACTGGACGGAAATGGATGAGGGGATGCTAATTGGACATGGATTGAAAGGGTAATGTTACCATGACTATTGAAAGCATATCGTTGGTAGCAACTATGAGCTTGCTGTAAACTAAGACGTTGTCTTGATACGTGAAGAGGTGATGTAAGTGCGAGGAAAGACAAGGATGATGACATAGAGCTCATTGGTCCAATACTCTCTACAAATGCCGACAATTGATATTTGGGGAGAGACGAGATAAAATTCCTGGTTATAAATATGTCTTTAGCCTACAATTTGCACAGATATTCTTCTGTGTGTCACCCCTTCAGAATTGTGTTTTCATCTGCACTGAAGCGAATACTTCTGAGCTTTTGTGCACTGCCATTAGATTGAAAAAAATGTTTTATGGAGATGAAAGAGGCCAAACAATCTCCATATTTAAAAAGAAAGAAAAGCTTAAAGTAGTTCAATAAGACATGTAATAAAATCTAATGTGGTCTTCTCAATAAGCAAGTACTTAATGATTGTTGCTCGGACTCTTCAAAAATGTCAACGGGTGTGTATCAGATTCGCCAAAAGTAGTGTATTTTTGGAGAATCCGACACGGGTATGGCATCAAAAGTGAAGAGTCCGCGCAACTTAGCTTAATGATGGTGTCTAGCAGTGTGATCAATGTGCAAGAGCTCCATAACCCATTAAGAGAGGTATAGATTACTTCAAAGATAACAACAATGTTAATTATCAGACAGAATCTTAGAATCGGTCAGTTGCCCTGGCTTTAAAAGATGTAGGGTGACATGTTAAGGTAATGGAGAAGGCTTGACAGGAAGAGGAGGAAATGCAGATCAATTGTGAAATCCACTAGTACCAATGAAACCCGAAAACACAACCTCTTTTCGACCTCAAGTCTTAACAACAAGTGAACTCTTGCTTTAGGGCCTATCTCTTGTACTAAAGAAAAAGTATGATGATTCTTTAACATACAAATGGAAAAGAATCTCTTATGATTGTTTGGTGTGAGGTATAAGGTATAATTGTTCCAGGATAAAATGTAGGATTATTTTATACCATGTTTGGTTGAAGGTATTAGATAGTCATTGGATTAGTTATCCCACCATATTTTCCATAGTGATGCATAAGTTATCTTAGTTAACTTGTTCCCAACCAAACGACCCCTTGGTCTCTATCCTTAATTGAATGAAGAAACATTGCTTAAACACACAGGGAAAGGAGGAAAGATTAAATCTTGTCAATTACTAATTCATTCATCAGTAATGTACCACATACACTATATTAATTACATCTTGACTACCAAAAGCTTGTTAAACCAACTACCTCAATATTCTTTCCACTATAGGCTATAACCCAAATTGGGAAAATTGTTCATAATCCAAAAAAAATACAGAAACCCTTCAAATCTCTACTGTATTCAAGAATATAGCCCAAAACAATATTAAACTTCATCTATACATAAGAAAGAAATGAACAAACTTCAAATATATTTATCTGAGTGAACAAATTTTCATAGCCCAAAACAATATTAAACTTCATCGAAAGAAATGAACAAACTTCAAATATATTTATATGAGTGAACAAACTTTCTAGTAACAAATAGATAGAAAAGAAAGAGCGGAGCTAACCTGGAAATGGTTTGAAAATGGGAGTTGCGAAGCTGAAATTCTATCCATTTGCATATGGAAGAAACAGGCAGAAAAGTTGAGAAGTGGAAAGGACTAATTGGGCATCATTAGAAGTAACCAAAGCCCAGCTAAAAGGTCAGGCCCATATACGGATGGCACAACATGTGCATAAATACCCAAAATTGGTGTCCCATCTATGCTATACATAAATAACCCAAGTTTATAAATTCTTATGACACATTTCGAATTTCAAAATTCAAATAAATCTATTTTTTTATTATATATTTTTTATATATATTTTAGATTGTTAATTATTGTGACTTATAGTACTTTTGACGCATTTTATAAATATATAAATTTCATTTCAAAAATAATTGATATCATGTGCGAATTCCCAATCAAACTTAAATTGATTGACTCTTGAAAAAAGAAATATGTTGCATAAATTGAGATAGAGGAAAAATATAAGTTTAGCTACTTTTCAAATAACTTTCACATGCGTAGTCAAACTACAACATTTCACTAAGGATGACAATAGGACGGGTGTAGGGCAAACTCACATAAAGCTCAACCCTGATCAAATAGCAGAATTTTTTATTTTTGCATCCCATACACCTCCTGCACTTTGAGAAGGAGACAGTAGTATTGTGTGTTACTTTGTTCATATGTAAAAAAAAAAATTGTTAATGTGAACATTTGAATATTATTTTTATTATTATTAAAAAATATTAGTTTGAATATTTTAATATTAACTTATTATTATAATTTGTGATTGAGTTGTTGTATTCACGAGGAGACAGGTCAGGAAGATTACTGCTAGACAGGTGAAAGATTTGTTGCAATAGGCTTAAATCTCTTTAACAAAAGCGAGATATTTGCGCCTCAGCCTGAAGATAATTTATGTTCTTCTCAACTATAATTTGTAATCTGTAATTTTACAAACAATTTTAAGGAGAATCAATGGCTACAATTGAAAAATTCGCGAATGTCAAGATGAGAGATCTTACCAAGTCATTTTGATTCAATGGTAATCACTTCAAGAAGTGGAATGGTAAAGTACTTCTCTACTTAAATTTTTTCAATGTTTCTATGCTTAACTGAGAAGAATCCTAATAAAGTTGACAACATCTCCATCCATGAATGATGATGAACTTATTTATCTTCAAGAAAAAGTAGAAAAGTCCGATTGTGAAAATGTCAGTATTATATTATTAATTGTTTATCTAATTTTATGATTATTATAATAAAACTTACTCTAGTACAAAGAAAATTTGAAAAGCATTGCAGTGTAAGTATGTTATTGAAGAATCAAGAGCGAAACAATAATTTGCTAACCCATTTGTGTTTCAAATGATGGACAAAAAATTAATGGTAGATCAAGCTCAAGACTTTATAATGTATGTTGGAGAGCTCAAATTCGAAGAGATCAGAATTGGAGAGAATATTATTGTTTGTAGCATAGTAGATAAACTTCCACCTTCTTGGAGGAAATTTCAAAAAACTATGCGCCACAAACAAAAGAAAATTTCTCTTGAGACGTTGATAATGAAAATCTGCATGGAAGAAGAGGCTAAGGGCCAAGATGACATTTACAATTAGAAGCGAGCAACATCACAGTAAAGATAAATTTAATTAATTCAAATAATGATACTCTTGATTCTCGCAAAAACATTTCTATGAAGCCTAAGAAGAAAATTTTAAAGAAAAATGATGGTAGACCTCACAAAAAAAATAATAGTGGAAATAACCAAACACAAAATCAACAAGTTTAAAATAAGGGACGGTGCTTTGGATGTGGCAAAAGTGGTCATTTTGCTCAATTTTGCGAATTTTAGAATTATGGCCCTACACCTCATGCAAACGTTACTGAAAAGCATGATTGAAAATGTTAATGAATAGAGGACTAGCACTGGTACAAATTGTCATGTTTGTTATGACAAAGATTGATTTGAAAAATATACACCTTTTAAGAAGTCCAAAATCATCATGCTTGGTGATTTTTACACCACTTAAGTGCTTGGAAAGGGAGATGTCAAATTTTGTTTACCTATGGAAGGGTATTAAATGTGAAAGATGTACTTTATACTCCTTCCATGAGAAAAAAAAAATTGATATCTAGTTTTCTTCTTACCAAAGCAGGCTTCAAACAAATTATAGAATCTGATCAATATGTAATTGTGAAAATGATATTTTTGTGGGAAAGGAGTATGCTTGTGATGGGATGTTCAAGTTGAATATTGAAATGAATAAAGTTTCTACTTCTGTTTACATGCTCTCTTCTACTAATTTTTTACATGCTCGTTTTATGTCATATTAATTATCATTATGTGAGAATCATGAGTAGTTTAAGATTAATCCCAGTGGTTAATTTTTTTTTTTGAAAAGTGTGAGACTTGTCGTAAAGTCAAAATCACTAAAAGGTCTCATTTTCAAGCTAAAAGAAAAACAACTTTACTATAATTGATTGACAATGATATTTGTGAACTTGGAGAAATTATAACTAGTAGAGAAAATAGATATTTTATCACTTTCATTAATGATTTTTCTAAATTTACATATGTGTACCGAATTAAAAATAAAAGTGATGTTTTTGGAATTTTTGAATTTTTAAAGTTTATTTCCAAAGGTTGAAAATCGATTTAGAAGAAAAATAATAAGAACTAGATATGATATAGGCCGTGAATAAAAATTAAAATGAGTTTAATTCCTTTGTTAGATCATTGGAAATGATTCATGAAACTACCCCTCCTTATTCTCTTTCTTCTAATTGTGTAATGGAAAGGAAAAATAAAATTTTAATTAATTTGACTAATGTCATGCTTATTGAGTCACATGCACTTTTAAATTTGTGAGGTAAAACTATTTTGACAGCTTATTGTGTGTTAAATTACATGCCTCAAAAAAAGACTAAATTGATACCTTTTGAGTTGTGGAAAGATCACTAGTCAAATTTGAAATATCTAAGAGTTTGGAGCTATGTAGCCTTTGTGGGGCTAATTGATCCCAAAATTACAAATGGAATAAAAAAATTACTACTTGTACTTTCCTTGATTATGTTTTAAATAATACAACCTATAAATTTTTTAATCTTGAATATTATATTATAATAACATCACGTGATGCTATTTCTCATGAAAATAAATTCTCTTTTGATTCTAAAAATAATGAGAGTCAACGGATTGAAAATAATATTTTATCACTACCTAATTCTTCTACTTCTATTTTGAAAAATAATGAAAATGATGATTTTGAGTTAATAAGAAGTAAAAGAGGTAGAAAAAGATTTTGGTCCACCTCCAAAGTTTTTTTTTTTTTAAAAAAAAAGGAATATGATCACCAGGAAAATGGAGTATGATAATTACATCCATCTTACTAGTCCTCAGCATTTCAAAAACTAATTTCTGTAATACATGTTACAAGTCCCATCCAAAAAACTGAAGCTTATTATTAATGCCTGTTTTTACAAGTTACCTCCAGTATCTGGTTCTTACTGTGCTTGCATGAAGCCACAAAGCCATCTTTCAGAACTTTGACATTCAACAATAAACTGAATCATTGATCTTCAAGGGGGAACAAAGTGATCCAACTTCTTCATTTATGTCAAGGTGCCTCAAGCAGTAACCATTGCATTCATCTCGGCAAGTGATCCAACTTCTTCATTTATGTCAAGGTGCCTCAAGCAGTAACCATTGTATTCATCTCGGCAAGATAACGACTATAAGTTTGGTGATCAGCAGTGCTCTTGAACCTAGGAATGAAGTCTGAGAAAAATCTTAGAACTGCAGCCAGGTGTTGCGAGTCATTAGAAGCATAAGCTGCCTCAAGAAACAATGAAGGCTGAACAGTATTCACCTGAATAACATCCACTTAATGTCAGAATCCTCAGTCAAACAAGAAATGTTTTGTCAAGTTTGTCTTGAGTGCAATCAACAGCAACTGAAGATAAAACCCAACTCCTCACATTCTCTCAGATAAAGGAATGCCAGACACCAAGTTATATTGGCACATTATTGCAATACTGTAATCAAGAGATGTTAAAGTACAGTTGAAGCTATCAGGCAGGTTTAGGCCCAATCTCAACTCATGTCCAACAATGGAATCCAGTTAAAGCATGAAAATGAAACCTTCAGATTTTCACACATCTAAACTTAGCGCACTGATATAAAAGTGGTCAACTCAAGGTTTTTTCCTTTGCTTTTTTTCCTGACAGTAAGGTTTTCAAATATCGGATCCAGGGAAAGTTTAAGAATACCTTAGTTTTCCTGGCAAAACGTAAAGCTTCAAGATAATATCCATCTTGAACAAGTAGCAAGACATAGTCATGGTGCAATGCAAGTTCTCTGAGCATATCTAGGCCCAACTTCCTTGTTTGAAAATTATGCCTGCCTGATGCTAGTAATTGCATTGCAACTTCTTTTGAGGGCTCAATTATCTGAAACACAATGAACACAAGTTCAGGGCTCATATTAGGTGTTTGTCGAGGAAAAAAACAGCACTCTTGTTGTTGTTGTAGCACTCTTGGTACTTATGCTGTAATAATTAGCTAACCTTATTCATGATGAACAATCCAAGTTCTGCATAATTTTCGTTTCGTGCTAGCAGTTGTATCATCAATACATAAATATTCAGAGGCACTTTCAACCTTTCCAGGTTAGCACTGAAAGAATGGATACAGGATCTATAAGATACATAAAGGACAGTTCATGCATCAAAAGTAAAAAACATGTCAGAAAGAAGAGCAGGCAAAAAAATTTCCCTTTTACAAGATGTGTGAACATGGTAAAACTGAAGCAGTTCAGACTGATGAGGATTTAGTTATAGAAAAGGTGAGTCCTATATTTAAGGAGAGCTTTGGATGGGTTTGAACAGTTTGATGGAAATGTTTTCTGAATTAAGTTTTTAGGAACAAATAGAATTGGATGTTTTAATCAAACTAAAAACTAATTGGCAACTATTTAGTTTTAAAACTATCAATCAAACATCCACATTATTAGTTCATCCAGATCATGCTAACTGTTGATAACAATAGTCCTGAAGTAACAAGCATTAGACTAGTAAATTTGTAATATAAAACAGCATAAAAAAGAAAATAAGAAGAAAAAAAATTAGTAACTCCTCCTTTAAACAAACTCGTAAAATGGTATAAACTATTAAACGCATAATAATATGACACAAAGTAGGTAAAATTTAAAAAGGAAAAATAACTTACGGGAGGGGGGAATAACATGTAAAAACTTGTGACCTACTGTTGAGATAAGTTTGGTGTGGTTTGGTTTTGGTTAGACTCAAAACAAAAACAACCTTCCGTTGAGAAAATCTTGTATATTTCTTTCAGGGTCAAAAAATGGATATTTACAGACGAACTGCCTTGTATAATTATTAACAGCTGAAGTACTGCTCCTATATAAGTTGATATAACATTCAACGTTTTTTTCTAAATGTGATTAGATAGTGATGGCATTACGGGAATTACCTATTTATGAGATAGCTCAGAGAGAAATTGTATACCTGCGTAGGAACTCAACAATGATTGCAACCAAGTAAGAAGAATCCCCAGCCATTTCCTCCTCTACAGGAGCAAACACAAAGCTGCACAGATCATCTGGAGATATTGCAGCAGAAGTTACGAGAGACTCCTGCTGTTCATCAGTCCTTAGGGAAGTGCTACCTGATCCAGGAGCTTGAGGTCGTACAACAGAAGGCTGAGCTTCATCACCAGATACATCTGTCCCAACCAAGTTACCTCCATTTTGTTCACTACTAGATAAATCGACATTTATAGATTTGCCTCTAATTTTTGCAAAACTAACATTGTCTTCAGACTCTGAAGTAATGGAAGACGATTTGACAATAGACTTGTCATGCGTGCCACTACCACTTTCTTGTTTTGCTGACTTCTCAGAGGTATCTGCTTGACTGATGGATTCATCAATAGCACTATTAACATTAGAACCACTGGTTGAACTTCTCTCCACTTTTGATCCCATATGATGTTTTCCAGTTTTTATTGAAAGAGAGAAACAGTTGACTAGGACATCTATCGCCCTTGCAACCATGGGCACAGGCCGTCGTTCGAGAATAATTGTCCGAGCCATTGCCAAACACAACTGTTTAGCCTGAAACAGACAATTTCAGATGGTGAAAATATTAACTCACTGCATAATATTCAACGAAGACATTTTTGGACAGGCATTGATTGGTAGTTTGGTACAACAGTACCCAATTAATGTCTCAATGGGGTCAATCAGTCAAGGTGAAACTGCTTCTATCCTAACAAATAAATTAGGGCAAACTGCCCAATATTTTTTGTAATAACTCAACATGTTCACGCACCAAACAGAGAAAATTACATTTCTACATGAGCAAGCAGCATCTGCATTAAAGAAAGCAGACCTTATTTGCTTCTAATTTCCTCCTCTGCAAAAATTCGAGGACTGTTTGCACTTCTGAGCTGCTAGAAGAAATGGCCTGCAAAAGATCAAGGTAATAGTAACTAAGACAGTAACTTCCAAATCATGATATTTACTAGCAATCAGAATCTTACCTCCAGATCTAAATGGATCTTCCACAAAACTCCATTGGCAATATCACATATAAGGTCTGGAACGAGGAATACCCACTCATCTGCATAAATGACTGTTTCACCATGATTTGAGTCCTTTCCCTCCAGACCTTCAACATTTTGACCCATCAATTGAGAGGCTGCAGCATTTGCTCTAGAAAAACCTCTAACCAATAATGGAAGTGGAGCAGATACAGGCACTTGAGAATCTGCAAATATATCATATATGATAACCACCTTCGCATCCACTTGGTGAACAAGCAGTACATTGTCGACTACACTGACAGCTATCTTGGTGGAATAAACTGGCAAAGAACCCTGGAAGTACATTTTAGTAGTCATCAGAGAAGAAAAGTTATTTCAGACAAATATCAAATAAAAATTGGTATCTGCCAGTGCAAATGCAAGCAGAGTAGAGCCCGTTTGGATTGGCTTAAAAAAGTAGCTTTTAAGTCAAACTTAAATGACTTTTAAGACTATAAATAAAAAGTAGGGGGAGGCCTACTTTTGGGTTAACTTATTTTAAGTCATTTTAAACTTATTTAAGCTATTTTTAACCTTGTCAAACACTTCTTAACTTATTTTAAGTTATTTTTTATATATTGTCAAACACTTCCAGAAGTCAAAAACTGAGTTAAAAGTAGGTTTGACCAACTTTTAAGTCCATCCAAACACCCTCTAAGTACCACATAAAATCCTCCAAAAGTATAACTTTAAGATTTCATTAAGTTGATGCATTTATTTTCCCACAAGTTGTAGGAGGAAACAGCTTTTTTGTAATACAAACTCAAACAATCAAACGGCAGACCAATTTATGTTTAAGGACAAGAAGATCCATTTAGAAGTAAGAGTAATCAAACACAAGGCAACATATCCATTAGACAAAACCCAAAAAACAAAAGAGGAAGAAAATAGAAAGTCATATGAATCTCCGATACACCATATGAATCTCCGAAGTTTAACAAAAGATATCTCTTCTTTCACTTAGTCATAAAAGACATTCTGATGCCCTTGAACACCCGAATATCGTTCACTCCTAAGAACTAACTCAGCATCACTAGTAAAAAATCAATGCTACCAAACGCTACCAATCCTATTTTGAGATTGGTAAGAAACTTTGCTAGTTGACATGTTAAGGAATTGGATTTGGTTCTTCAGTAGTTCTTCGTCAGAAACGCTACCAATCCTATTTTGAGACGATGTTTAATATCTGGTTCTTGCATATGTCAGTTATGTTTGTTAATCATCAAAACTTCATATTGTTAGCCTAAGACGTAACTCTCTTCTAATGGCTCTCCCTAGCTCATAGCTCTCTAGATCCTGGCTCAACAAAATACTTTATCATGTGTTCAAGTGTTCAATTGGAACAAACCATAGTTCATGTGTGTAAATGAAATTTGTTGGCAAGTGTAAGGCGATGTCAATGGATTAAGTCTTCTTAAAATGATGCGAGGAGATTTGGACTTTTCTACTTGCCAATGTTGCGAGTTTTCTCTAGATATTAAATACCGTAGAATATGTCATCTCTTCCATAGTTTCATAGAATACAAGATGTTTGCCCCACATTCCTTAACAACCACCTTCATGATGGCCCTTTTTGTTTGGGTCTTTTATCCCCCTCCCATTACATGTAATGATCTTAATATCCATTAACTACTATTTTCCTTGATTCTTGTTCTATTGGATCGGATGAATGACTCTTGCGTTTGGAACAAATAGGGTTGTCCCCTGTCCTAACTCTCCCCCTTCTTTTCTCCCCTTCCCTTTGTCCCAAAACCTCTTCCTGTACACCACTGGTGAACCCACATTGTTTTGGGCCACTGGGACTTGGCAGGGACCATTAGTGATGCCTCCAATGTACTTAGGAGGTTGGTTTGCGAGACCATTTATGTGTTGGGAGGATCGTTTCTTATTTTGTGCGGTAGCAATTTATAAAGCACACGCTGAAACAGGTGAAATCAAAGGGCATTAGAAGCCAAAGGTGAAAGCTCTTTGAATTTAGAGTCTTCCCGGAGCTTTCATCCACCTTTCTCTCCCCCAATTAAACCGATCTAACTCGTTTTCCAGAATGATCCAAGCTTTAGGATTGACTCCCACGGAAGTCTTCCATCTTAACCCCGCCTCCCCACCCCCCTCTCCTTCCTTCCCCTCAATCCCTCCTTAACCTCCCTCCCTTCCCCTCCCTTTTAATACCACTTCAATTTTGTTCCTTTAAACCATTACATTTTTGGGTATTGAGTGAACTGATTCATACTACCAAGCCCGACTTCCTTATCACAGGATGTTGTAGTCCTTTGTGGTTGAAAATTGACTCCACCAATTTAACTTTACTAACACCTTCCCTTCTGCAAGAAGCAGAAAACTGTTCTTTAGTTTTTGCATAACAAATACCACCTAAATTATACTTTGCTGGAAAAATAATTCCAAGGAAAATTGCAGGAAATTTTTCAGAAAGTCTAAATTTTTTTGCAATTCACTGGTCTGAATCGACCCTCGAGCTGCAGGACGGAAAAGATTGAAATCGCTAGAAAGGGAACAATTCGTCTAAAAAGTGTACCACATCAATCCGCCAATAAGACGACCAATAATCAGATACCATAATCATAGAACACCAATTTTCTCTTAATAAAAGGGCCTGATATACCCCCTGAACTTTGTCATTTAGAGTTGATATACACTCGTTATGAAAGTGGCTCATATACCTACTAGTAGACAAATGGCTCACATATACTTTTTAAAGTAATCCATGTAGGGATATATTTGATCCTTCTCACACATTTTTTCCCGACTTTTTTATTCTAACGGCTAATTTGGATTTATTATTTTGATGGTCAAATTTAATTTTTCACTAATTTTCTAGTAAAATTTATTATAGATGCCCCAATTTTTTTTTACAAATACAAAAACCAAATTACAATATAGACGCGAAAAATAGTTTTAAATTATAATATAGCCACAAAAAATTTAGTTTCAAGTTTTTTTCTTACTTTTTTCTCTTTTTCCATTCACTTCTTTCTTTTTATTTTTCTTATTTTTACTCTAAAGAATGAAAGAAAAAAATGAAATAAGAATTAGAAACTCAAATAATAGTAATAAAAGAAGTCGAAAAATAATTCATGTGTGAAAAAAACCAAATATATGCCTGAACTTTGCTAGAAGGATCCTATACCTACATAGATTTTTTGAAAATTAATAATAAAAAAACTAAATTTAAAATTAACTTTTTCACTTCCGTTAGATGAAAAGGGTATATGTGAGTCACTTTTGGAACGGTAGGGGTATATGTGAGTCACTTTTGGAATGGCAGGGGTATATGTAAGTCACTTTTGTAATAAGGGGTATATCAGTCTATGTTGCTCGGACTCTTAAAAAATGATGCCGCACCTGTGTCGGATTCTTAGAAATGCACTACTTTTGGAGAATCTGACACGCACCCGCCGACATTTTTGAAGAGTTTGAGCAACATAGATATCATCTCTAAATGGCAAAATTGAGGGGTATGTCAGGTCCTTTTCCCATCTATCTTTATAGCCACAACTACTTCAAATTAATTTCAAAATCTCAAGAGTTAGGAATGCTATAATGTCCTTACGTACAACTTGGACTATTAAAAAAATATATGCATGTACCCTTGGTGTTGGTAAGAGCTTACCTGTTGTATCACGGCATCCCGATAAAATCTGTAACAATAGAGTTGCATTGCTATTTTATCAAGTTGCAGGCAGTAAATTCTACCATAACTGTGAATTAACAGGGAAACATGTCACAATTAAGATGAAAAATCTACTTAACAGAAAAATTATGTGAAAGATCTCACTAAAGAAACGAGAACAGGATAAGCACTTACACTGTGACGATATAAATATCCTCTGCAGCAAGGACAGGCTTACTATTTGCCTCAGATTTTGCCATTGCCATGTCAAACCTTGGCAATCGGACTATTCCTACGGATGAAATCTATAAAACAGAATAAAAACTAATGTCAAGCTATCAAAATTGAAAGGATTTAGTGATGAATGCCTTGCATCAATCGAATTCTGAACATGAAGGATTGCAATTATTTTAGTCATGCAAGGCATAATAGGACAAAAAGATAAGCCGAATAAATGACAATCTCACTTCTAAAAACTTTTTCCAGCTACAGGGGCTTATCATAAAATCTGAATAACGAGAAATAATGATCCTTAAAGGTGAAGACAGACATGGATATTACTTCCACGGAGAACAGATAAAGTTCCCTACCAGTGAAGATTTATATACTTCAGCTCTGAAGCTTAACCTTGAAACCCCCAATCATGAAAAAACTCAAAAACTAGGATGGTAAACTATTCAACCCCCAACAATTTAGATCTTCCTAAAGATTATTAAGCCAACAAAAGGAATAAAATATCTGTTTAAGTTACTGTCTAGAGCCTTATTAGCCATTGCTGCATTGTATTTATCACATAACGGACCACAATCATGCTGATATACTGCAAAAGTGATGTTATGCATTTTTATACCAAGAAGGTAGAGATTCTAAAAAGAAAGACACGTAACACCAGAAATAAACCTGATATCCTGTAAGGTTCTTGCACTGCATTCCCGTGGCTAGAAGCACCAATCTACTTTCATGTGTATAGACATACCAGCTCACATTCAGTTTCTTAGTCTCTACCAATTGAAGTGATCTTATTCCAGAACAGCACGAGAATAACTCCAGTCCACTGCAGTTGAGGATCTAGATCAGATATGCATGCCAATCATTTTGAATGGGTTCAAAAATAAGCTTTACTAAATTAATGGCAATGCTTGTTTGGGATCGAAACGTAGTAGTTATTGTTATATTATTGAATGACAATGCATACATGATATAAAGGCGTGATATATGATATAACGGCAATGCTCATACCAAGTAACCAAGAAAATTTGATATCCATAAGCACAAAGGAAAAGTTTCAAATTTTCCCCTTTACTATCCGAAATTGCTCAATCATTTGTTACACTTTGGTCCATTCATACCCTTGCCATTAGCAAATATCTCGTATTGGGTGGACCCTGCCTGTCCTAAATCTTCGAGAAAAAGGTTCAGATTTATCCCTCCACTTTTGACTTGACTTACAATTACCCGCAAGTAGGAGTAACATTAGTGGTCAATGTTGGGCCCCTAAAATTGAAATTGTCCACGCACTAGATGTTAAGCACGGGGCATGAGGTGGGGTGTTAAAGAATGACAAAAGTCCCACATTGGTGGTTAATGAGATGAATGGACTTCTTACAAGGCTTGAGCAATCCTCCTCCCTTTGGCTAGCTTTTGGGGTGTGAGTTAGGCCCAAGACCTAATTTAACAAAACCCATCCCCAAACCTCAATCAGAAGTTGGAAATTTGAATTGTATCGAAGAACATTGAAGAACTTGAGTTGAGTTTTGAAAATTCAAATCTGAATTTTGTTGATTGGAAGTATTTGGGTGTGATTGAAACTAGTTCTGCATGGATAAGGGAACTTGAATCTGAAGTTTAAGCATAATTGGAGTTGATTGGAGTACTTGGGGTTCGAAAATTATTTCACCATTAAAGAACTTGAAGTTCTTGAGGTGGGTTTTGGATTTTAAAATGGAGCTAGAATTGAGTGGAAAACTCTTGATATTGATTGAGGATACCATAATCCAAAGTTTCAGAGTGTTTGAAGTTGATTTGAGCAAATTTGGATCAGATTTGAGTTGATTTGCAGACAAAAATATGAGCTGGAAACGTAGAATCGTGTACCAAATCATTTAGCCGGAAATTTTCATGGACGTGGACAGATCTGAACTCAGAACTTCAGCCCAATTTCGTCTAGACATTTTACTCAAGACCAAGGCATTTTCGTCTAGACATTTCAAAAATGTCTCCACGTTTTTTGCCTGCACCAGAAAATTTTAGCATTGCATTTTTTGATGTTTTAGGTGGATTTTTGGGTCCAAGCTGCTATTTTTCATTCCTTTTCAATTGTTTTGGATTTCCTAAGCTAGATTAGGCTTAGTAATAGTCCTACTAAGTATTTTCTAGTTATTTGTGTCTGTATTTTTCTTTTCGTGCCAATTGTTTCGTGCTTTTCTCTTTTATTTTCATAGTATGCTTTTGGTTCCTAGTCCATTTGTTTTCTTGTCCGTTCATTTGAACATAACTTCCAGTCCGAACCGATAATTGAATGTCTACTTGGAGTTCTTTGCAAATCTTGGTTGTGTAAGAGAAATTTGGATAGCCTTGTGTAAAAAATGCTCGAGTGGTGAGTGCAATTGAGCGAGGTTGCAAAGGCCATTGACTTATTAGTGTGAATCCAAGGATTGACTATCATTGTGAGGATAAACTAAAAATCGATTAGGAACTCTTATTGCTAAACGTTTGTTCATTTCGCAATAAAACTATGGAGGAGGGTCAAGGTTCAACTTCTGTGAGTGAACCTATTTGGAATGATATTGTGAATTGCATCAAGTCAATTAAAGATGAACAAGTATGATGGACGCTGAGATGCAATGACTAAAATAAAGTTGTGCCACTAGTACACCTAGAGTGTATGTTATGCCAAATTAAGGGAAGCCTAGTGCTACAAGCTACAATACACCTTACTACTACCATGGGTCACCTAGTGGTATGTAAGGTAACTTGACTACACCTCAATCTTGTACATATGCTAGTGGTGCTTCAAGTGTACCTAGTACCCCTAAGCCTTCATATGTGGAAAGTGTACCGAAGAATGAAAATGTGACTCAAACAGCTACAAGAAGCTATACAAGTGTGTTTGACTCTCTAGCTATGCTTGAGAAGGAAATTGAAACCAGTGGAAGTGAAAAGAATAGCAAGTCTTTGGAGGTACCTTGCCTTGAATTCACTTGTGAAGTGCCATGTCTTGAAGAATGGTGATAAGAATGAAGAATCTTCTGTTGATGTCCATGATGATGTTTCTTGGGATAGTACTTCTTTGGTAGGAACCGTACATGATCAAGCGTTGGTTGAAAGAGAAGATATGTTGGTAAGAAGAGTTGTGATTGATTCCTTGGTGGAAGTGGATGATTCTCAAAGAGATAATCTCTTCTACACTAGATGTATGGTTTTCGATAGGATGTACACTACAGTAGTTAATGGAGCAAGTTGTGATGATTTTTTAATGAGTGCTACCTTGGTGAAGGAGTTAAAAGTTGAAGACCCAAACATCCTCGGCGATGTAGGTTATAATGGTTGCACGATTGTGGAGAATTGAAGGTGAACAAAGTGGTGAGGATTCCTTTCACTATTGAGCGTTATGAAGATGAAGTTGAATGTGGGGTTGTGCAACTACATGCTAGTCATATCATCCTTGGGAGATCTTGTTTGTTTGATAGGAAAGTAGTGCATAAAGAAAGGGAGAATCACCATTTGATTGGAAAGATAAGAAGATTACTCTTGAATCGTGGAACCCAATGAAGTCTTGAATGAACAATTGAGTCTCAATTACAATGAAAAGAATGCCTTGAGAAAGAGAAGGATGAGTGACAAAAGATTGAGAAAAGTGAGGGTGAGCAAGGTGACAACTATAGAGTGGAAAAAGGAAAGGAAGTGTGAAGTGAAGTGAGTTGTCACAATAAAAGAGTGAAGAGGTTGAAAAGAGAATGAGGGAAAAGAAAGAAGAATTTTTTTTTAAGTGAACTCTTGTGTAAATTTGTTTCTTGTGTATTAACTTTTGGAAGGGAACACCAAAGGAAGCCGTCAAGTGAAGAGAACTACCATCTTTGTAGAGGGGTGGGCCCATTATCCACCGAGTTTAGAAGGCTGTGATTGGTCCAAAGGGCGGGTCACAGACGGATTTCTCGGTTATCAAAATAAAAAATAGAAAAACATCTTATGATATTAAGACTTTGTTACAAATCTAAATCATTCATACTTCAAACCTACTAAGTGGTTGTGAAGTTTTAAAAAAAAAACAATCGCACTTAATGTTAAGAATTGAATAATATCAAGATTCAAACCTAAAAAAAAGAAGCAAACTTAGGCCTCATTTGTTTCCATTAAAATTAAGACGTCTGAATCTAAATTAGCATCTAAATATTAAGATCTAGATGCCTAGATCTAATTACACATCTGAATATTAAGATGTGGTCTTCGTATTTGAACAATGAATGATTAAGACTATTTGTTTTCAATATCTGAATATGCATATGAAATTAAACATTATATCAATAAAATATAATAAATTTTTCATTTCATAAAAAAATTTACTTTTTGATTAAAGAAATAATATTTTAAATGTTTATATTTGATTAAAAAATTAAATTATATGATATGCAAATAAAAATTATATATCCGTATAAAAAAAAAAAAAATTTGATAAAGGTAACTTTATATTCACGTCAAAACTCATCAGCAGAGCATGATGAGGTGGGATTTACAACCCCACAGGGGGTAGTTTCAATAGCCGAAACTGGGCAAAAACTTTACAATTGAGCTCTAAAATCCACTAAGCTATCTACCTCCCCCACCAAATCCTGTTTACACCAAAAATACAGCAAGCTCAAGCTATTCATCTTGATTTTTTGAGTGTT